ACAGACAAAATATAAAGCATTATTATTTTCTTTTAATCCTCACTCGAGGATATGTTTTCATTGATGAGAGAGAGAGACAGAGAGAGAAACATCTATCAGTTGCCTCCTGTACGCACCCTGACCAGGAATCAAACCCACAACTTTTTGGCGTACAGGACAACCCTCCAATCAACTGACCCACCTGGCCGGGACAAAAATATAATGCGCCATCAGCGCGTGGGAACAGCAGTGGTGGGAGCGGGACTGCCAGCAGACTGGGGACTGGGGCTGCGGTGGGAGGGGCCGGGCAGGGGCATGGAGGATGGGCCAAGACCCGCCCCTGTGCCCAACACAGCCTTGCAGCCCACAGTTCCTTTCAAGGTGCATGAATTCATGCACTGGTCCCCTAGTTAATATTTATAATAGTTTTTAATTTTACTTATGAATTTAAAGTGTGAGTATATTTTAATTGAGTTGTTTTAATAATTGAAAACCTCCTGAAACGTTATACTGATTTTGAACTCAAACTGACTATAATTTGAAAATAAATGATGAATAATTTTTTAAATATCCAAGCCATAAAGCTATTCATGCATTCATTCAGCAGCTATATCAAATGCCTAATATGTAACACACTGTGCAAGGTATTTGGCAGGTAGACACAGAAATATAGAGATCTGTACATGAAGCAGACCAATAAAAACCTGCATCTATTAATGATAGCTATGGTGAAAAGGGATTGGGGGATATGTGGAAGGAAATGGGGCTTGGAAGTATTATCTTTAGAAGACTCCTCTGAGGAAATTAGCTTTAGGACAGGATCAGAGGAGGAGGTGTGGGCGGGCATTCTACCCAGAGGCCCTTTTTGCCTGGTTTATAGATGTGCTTTTGTTGAATGACAGTTTATAATGTAAACTTTAGAAATTTAGTGGAAACATTCTAAGATTTTTGTGCTTACCAAAGAGAAAGGAGTGACTTCTGATGAGATAAGAGTGGGTAAGTTTGGAAAAGTCAAGTTATATAAAAGAGAGGCTAAAACTTGCTCAAATCCCCTGAACACATCGGGATATAGTCTCATGTAGTTTCACTACCAACAAAGTCAAAACCTTAATATGTGTCCCTCAATAATGAATAAATGTACAAAATGTCATATATAAGATTTTTTGTCTGTTGGTCCGTTATTTTAAGAAGATTCATATTTTACAATATGCATTACTTATTTTGACTGAGCACTATTTTCCTTGTTTCTTTACTCACTGTTGATTCTTGCATCCTACTCCATTTATGTTCCCTTTTTCCTTGCTTAAGTATGTCCTTAATAATTAGCAAACATCTTTGGGCAATAAATTTTTAGACCCTGTTTGTCTGAAAATGTCTTTATTTTGTTCTCAACCTTAATGGTCATTGGACACTAGACAATTCTAATTTTCCACATACTTTCCCTCAGCAACTTAAATATTCCACTGACAGTACGTATACTCTTGCTAATGAAAATCTGGATTTCCTTCCCTAGAAATAATGTCTTTTTCTCTAGTTGCTTTTTTTTTATTTTTAGTTGAGAATTTCAACTTATTTTGATGTGTATAGAATTAAAATAAAACAAAATAATTAAAACTGTAGTTTTTTTATAACAAAAAAGCGTAATCATAAAATAAGACATTGATAATTAGATTTAATCAAAAGTTGAATCTTCTGTTCTTCAAAAGACACTGTTAAGAAAATGAAAATGTGCCCTGGCTGGTGTGGTTCAGTGGTTGGAGTGTGCCCAAGCACCAAAGGATCTTGGGTTCAATTCCTGGTCAATGGCATGTACCTGGGTTGCAGATTTGATCCTGGCCTCCAGTTGGGGAGTGTCCAGGAGGCAACCCCCTCCCTCCCTTCAAATTTCTCTAAAAATCAATGGAAAAACATATCCTCAGGTGAGTATTAACCTCACCTCCCTCCCCCCCTGAAAAAAAGACTGAAAATTGAAGCATCAACTGGGGGAATATATCCGATACATATTTCTGATGAAAAATAAATTAGACAAATCAAATTTTTTAAAAATTGTATTTCAAATGACACCATCATGAAAGTGAAAAGACTATTCACAGAATGGTAGAAAATATTTACAAATCATATATCAGATAAGGATCTTGTATCTAGAATGTGTAATAAAACCCAATTAAAGCCCTGACCGCTTTGGCACAGTGGATAGAGCATCGGCCTAGGGACTGAAGGGTCCCGGGTTCGATTCCAATCAAGGGCATGTGCCTTGGTTGCAGGCATATCCCCAGTGGGGGATGTGCAGGAAGCAGCTGATTGATGTTTCTCTTTCATCGATGTTTCTGGCTCTCTATCCCTCTCCCTTCCTCTCTGTAGAAAATCAATAAAATATATATATTTTTTTTAAAAAAAAACACAGACAAAAATAGCAAAAGATGCCCCGCCGGTATGGCTCAGTGGTTGAGCATCAACCCATGAAACAAGAGGTCACCTGTTTGATTCCTGGTCAGGGCACATACCCGGGTTGTGGGCTCCATCCCCAGTAAGGGGTGTGCAGGAAACAGCTAATTGGTGTTTCTATCTCTCTATCCTCCCTTCCTCTCTAAAATCAATAAAAACATTTTTAAAAATAAAATGAAAATAGCAAAAGATTAAAACATTTTTCTCCAAAGATAACATGAATAGCTAGTAAGAACATTAAAAGATGCTCAACATCTTAGTCATCAGGAATAATTACTTTAAAACTACAATAAAATACCACTAAAACTTTAAAAGACCGAGAATACCAAGTGTTAGTGAGGATATGGAGCAAACAGAACTCTCATATTGCTGATAAGAATGTAAAATGTTATGATCACTCTGGAAAATTTTTATTTCTTACAAAATTAATGTATACTTACCCTATGACTAGCAACTCTGTTCACTCAAGAAAAATAAAAATGTGTTCCAAAATATATAAATGTTTACAGTAATTTATTCATAATATCTGAAAACTGGAAACCCAAATGCTATCAACAGTTGCATGGATGAGTTGTATTATAATCAAGCAATGGAATACTATTCAGCCATTAAAAAGAATGAAGTACACAACGCACAGTAACATAGATGAATCTTAGAAACATGCTGAGTGAAAGAAGCTAGACATGAAAAAGTACATATTGTGTTAATTCCTTTACATAAAATTTTAGAACACAAAAAAATATGTCTCAAACAGTTGCAAAGTGTCAGCTGAAATTGGTCTGGCCTGTATGCTTGCTTGAGGTTGGTCTGCTTCTAACTTTGCTCAGTTTCTTGATAGATATAGGTCCTCTCCATGAGGAAGCTCATAGCATGCAGCTAGCTTCCCACAGAATGGACGAGTGAGAGAGTACAAGGTAGAAGTCAGCCATTTTTGTAACCTAATCTTTTTTTCTTAGTGACTTTCAAACTTTTTAAATGCTAACCCACAATAAAATACAGATAGTATGACACAATCCAGACTGACATATGCATACATATATAATCTGAATAAATGCATACACATTAAATAACAAGTTTCATAAAACAATACTTTTGTATTACATGTAATGCTCTGTGATTGTGTTCTATCTTGTTTTTTGTTTTGTTTTGTTTTGTTTTTTTGAGGAGGGACTGGTTAATCCTCACCCGAGGTAATTTTTCCATTGATTTTTAGAGAGACTGGACGGGAGAGACAGAAAAATCTGTGTGAGAGAGACACATCAATTGGTTGCCTCCTTGCCTGCACCCCGACCAGGACCGAGGAACCTGCAACCAAGGTACGTGCCCTTGACCAGAATCAACCCGGGACCTTTCGGTCCTCAGGCCAGTGCTCTATCCACTGAGCCAAACCAGCTAGGGCTCTTGTTTTTTTTAAAATGCCAGTTATGACTCATTAAATTGTGTTGACCACTAATGGTCACATCCTATTTGAACATGCCCTCAGAGGTGCTTTTGCAACATTTCTAGTATTTAATATCACCTAGAAACACAAAAGAAGTACTGTCACCATAAAGAAATGACAGCTCAGTGCACCCTGAATTTGTGGACTTTGAAAACCTACCTCTTCAGAGTGAAGAACTCAGGGTATTAAGATTAGGGATTTCCAAAGTGTTGACAAATGCAGTTATGGAGGACAGCTTAAGCAAGGATTTTGCAGAAATACAGCCTTTGCTCTGACACTCGGATCTGGGGATTTACAGTTGGCAACTTCCTGGGGAATATCTCACTCCCCCCCCTCCACCACCACCACTGGTTGTTTCCTTTCCTCTTGGCTATTAGCCCCTAAGGGTGCATCCCATAATTTTCACAGCTAATAGAGCCCAGGCTGGAGACTTCCTGTCCCATTAATAAAGCATTCCTGTGTCTTCTGGACACTTTTCCCACAAAAAACTAAGAAAGTATTTTGTGGCCTCCCCAGAGATTCACGGAGCATGTTTGCCTGTGAAAGACTGAAAGGTCCTGCAGTAGACAAACCTGTTACCTTTTTATTTTTAATCTTAGGATTTTACAAATTTATTTGTCCACAGACACTTCCTCCCTGTTTTTCCCCTACCCTCCCCTAAAGTTCCTTTACACCTAAGGCCACCCCTGGGAATAATTGTGGAGTAAATGAAATGGGTCTTTGTTTGAACCACCTAGTAACACATCTCAGACTCCAGGAACCACCACCATTCCTTTATGTCTAAGTCCCTCTCCCATCCCCCTTCTTTCTTGTCTGGACCCTAGTGTCTTCAGGCCCAGGGAGAAGAGGATTGAGATGGAATACAAAAGGACTGGGTCAATGGGTTGCCCCACCAGGAGAATTGGCACAGTTCTCAGTACCTAGCCAAGAACTGACTCTAATTCAGGCATTGCAATGAGTCCATGGGAGGAGGGGGAGTGAGGAGGGATGGAGCTGGAGCCCTGAGACTCTAGGAATTCCCAGCCTTCTTATCAGAGGGCCATCATGTTCATTCTCCTTTCTTTTCCAGCTGATGCCCATGTGACAAGAACAGAAATTCATACCTCACACCCATCCCCACCCCCACCCCCACCTCCATGACACTTCCCAGGGTTGTCCTCTTCCTAGGACCATCTCTGGAGGCAAAATGTTCCTTCCACCTTCCACCTGCTCCCATCCTGTTCCCCTCTCCCTGGACCACAACACTTTCAATCCCAATTAAGTAAAATTTCCCAGCTGGCCAAGGCAGTTTGGGCGCCCGGTGTGGCAGGGTCACAGGACAAACACCATGTGCTGGGCCACGCTGAACAGGAGAAACGGTGTTGTTGCCCAGGGAAGGCCTTGGAGGAATTGACTGGCCCCGAGGTGGTCTTGGCCGCCTCCTCCACCGGCGCCTCGGGCCAGCAGCTTGGAGAAGAGGCAGCGGAACCCGCTCACAGTGGTGACCGCTGGCTCTGAGGTGAGAACCCAAAGGCCACCTGGCAGATTCCTGCCACAGAGCCCAGGGAGGCACATTGGCAACAAGCTCAGAGCTCTCCATCCAGTCTCGGCAGCATGAGAAAGAGCGTCCCGGAAGAAGCGCGCGGGGGCGGGGAGCTGGACGGTGGCCCAGGTGAGCACAGTGAGGTGGTTGCCATTGAGGTGCAGAACGAGGGGCCCAAGAGGTCTGGAAGACGCCCTCCTCCACGAAGGCGATACTGTTGCAATCCAGGTAGAGCAGCAAACCAGATAGACGGACGAGTTGCCACCCAGGTTGAGCCTGGGGAGGTTGTGCAGCAGCTGAAGGCATCCGGTTGTCCTTAAGGAGTAGGTGCTTCCTGGCACCACAGTTGGGGAGGGGGAGTGTTTGCAGGGAGCCGGAGGCCACCGCGCGTGGGTCAGGTAACCCATCACTTGTGTCATTCTTTTCATTATACTAATAAGTAAGTCACTAGGTCCAGCCCACACTCAAGGGTTTGAAACCAGGAGATGGGATTATTCGGGAAATTCTTACAAGTCAAACTTAATTTAAAAGTAATGTTTTATATGTAATAATACAGAATGACCACGTATAGTATCTGTTATTAGAAGACGTTCCCGCTGCGGCGTCCGTGGGCTCCGCGGAGGTGCCGGGCTCAGGCTGCCCCACCGCCCGAGCTCCAGTGCCGGCGGCCGGCAGCAGCCGAGGCGCGTGGGCAGCCGCTCGGCTCGTTGGGACGTTCCGCTTCTCCGGGCCTCTGCCCGGCGGCTGCGGAGGCCTCGGTGCCGCCCGCCTCCTGTGCCCGAGGCGGGGGTGCCCGCACGGCCAGGGCGCTGGTCCACCGTGGGGTCCAGTGACGTGCGCCGCGGGTCCCACTCCTCATTTGTGCGGTGGCGGGGCCGGGTGTCTCCTTGAGCTTCAGACCCAAGGAATTGACCCCGAGAGAAGTTGTGAGTGTGTCGGAGACGCACGGTATCCCGGTCGGGGTGGCCTTCGTGGAGCCGAGAGGGGAGAAGTACGATGGCGCTTTCCCTGTGATGTTGCTGGCATGGAGGGATGGATGGCACGTTCTGGGGACGGAGGCTTGGGTGGAGTGAGGACTCAGCTCCCTGCCTCCACGAGGACATTGGGCTGGAGGCACCCGTCTTCTCTCCAGCGTCTAAGATTTCAAAACCCGTGGCTCAGTAAGTAGGGCACCCCCGGCTCGGGACCATGCCAGCCCACGAGCTGCTCCGGTATTTTCGGATACCGGAGCTGGCCGAATTCCGACAGTACGTCCGCGCGCTCCCAGCCAACTCGCTCACGGGCTTGGACGCGTTCACCGCTTTCACCATCCTGTGGTTTGCCATGAGGCCCAGGGCGCCCTCGCCACCGCGCGCCCTCGCCATGCAGTCGGTGGAGGTGGCGGGCAGCGGCGGCGCGCGGCGCTCCGCGCTCCTGGACAGCGACGAGCTCATGGTGTACCTGTACGAGGACGTCAGGACCGTGTACCAAGCTTTCCAGAGGGGCGTCCGCCTGTCCAATAACGGCCCTTGTCTGGGCTCCCGGCAGCCGGACGGGCCCTATGAATGGCTCTCCTACCAGCAAGTGGCGGAGATGTCTGAGTGCATGGGCTCGGCCCTGATCCAGATGGGCTTCGGGGCGGCACCGGACCAGAACATCGGCATCTTCTCCCAGAACAGGCCCGAGTGGGTAGTCATCGAGCTCGGATGCTTTGCTTACTCCATGGTGGCCGTCCCCCTCTATGACACCCTGGGAATCGAAGCCGTCACTCACATCGTCAACACTGCGGAGCTCTCCCTGGTGTTCGTGGACAAGCCCGAGAAGGCCAGCCTGCTGCTGGAAGGGGTAGAAAACAAGTCGACCCCGGGCCTCAGAACCGTCGTGGTCATGGACTCCTACGGCAGCGACCTGTCGGCACGCGGCGAGAGGTGCGGGGTGGAGATCGTCAGCATGAAGGCCTTGGGGGACCTGGGCAGAGCCCACAGAAAGACGCCCCAGCCGCCCGCACCTGAAGACCTGGCAGTCATTTGTTTCACAAGTGGGACCACCGGCCACCCCAAGGGGGCCATGATCACCCATCGCAACATGGTGAGCGACTTCTCCGCGTTTCTGAAAGTGACCGAGGAGGACATTCACCTGAACGTCAGTGACACGCACTTTTCGTTTTTACCGCTTGCACACATGTACGAGCTGCTCTTGCAGAGTGCGATCCTGTGCCACGGAGCAAGAATAGGCTTTTTCCAAGGAGACCTCAAGCTGCTTATGGATGACCTCAAAGTGCTTCAGCCCACCATCTTTCTGGTGGTCCCGAGGCTGCTGAACCAGATGTTCGACAAAATTCGGGGGCAGGCCAACACCACCCTGAAGCGGTTGCTACTGGACTTCGCCTCCAAGAGGAAACAAACCGAGCTTCGCAATGGCGTCATTAGAAACGACAGCCTGTGGGACAAACTGATCTTCCGCAAAATACAGTCCAACCTGGGAGGGAAGGTCCGGCTGATGATCACCGGGGCTGCGCCCGTGTCAGACACGGTGCTGATGTTTATGCGAGCGGCGCTGGGCTGTCATTTCTACGAAGGCTATGGGCAGACTGAGGGCACAGCCTGCTGCTCGATGACCATTCCCGGAGAGTGGACCGCAGGCCATGTCGGTGCCCCACTGCCTTGCAATCTGATAAAACTCATCGATGTGAAAGAGATGAACTACCTGGCTGCCAACGGTGAGGGCGAGGTGTGTGTGAAAGGCTCAAATGTATTTCAAGGCTACCTGAAGGACCCGGTGAAGACAGCGGAAGCTCTGGACAAAGGGGGCTGGTTGCACACAGGGGACATCGGGAAATGGTTACCGAATGGGGCCTTGAAGATCATCGACAAGAAGCAGCATATATTTAAACTGGCACAAGGAGAATACATAGCACCCGAAAAGATCGAGACTATCTATGTACAGAGCGAACCCGTTGCTCAGGTGTTCGTCCATGGAGACAGCTTGAAGGCATTTCTCGTAGCGATCGTGGTCCCTGACGTGGAGACGCTGGGCCTCTGGGCAGGGAATCGAGGCCTGGTGGGATCCTTCGAGGAACTGTGCCGCAGCAAGGATGTCAAGAAAGCCATCTTAGAGGATTTGGTGAGGCTGGGGAAGGACTCTGGCCTGAAGCCATTCGAGCAGGTCAAAGGCATCGCTCTCCACCCTGAACTGTTCTCTATCGAAAACGGCCTTCTGACCCCGACAATGAAGGCAAAAAGGCCACAACTTCAGAATTATTTCAAGTCACAGATAGAGGAACTTTATTCCACCACCAAAGTTTAAGCGAGGAGGAACGGTCAGAAGAAACCACACACCTCCACGATCTTCTTCTCCTGGTGGCTTTCACGTTGGCGATTTGACTACACGAGCATAGGGAAGGGCCCCCTTGTTTGACTTGGGCATTGGGCTCTTGTCATAGGAATATTAGAGGAAGTGGGACTCTGCCTTGCAGTCACCTCGCATGGCAGATCATGTACCCATGTGGTGATATACCATTTCCAAAACGAGCCTTCACAATAGTCAAGGGAAACTATACATGTGCTAAGTTATTCGTGACTTCCTTCATTCAGAAGGCGGATGTGGAACTTCTGTCTCCCTGTTTTTCTAACCAAGGGACTAGGACTTGCTATTTCTGAATGTCTGCTGCTTGCTGCAAACTCTGTAGTCATTGGCTGCTCAGAAGAATACCTGCACTGGAAGGAAACTGTTCCTTATGAACAACCGACCCCGCTGGAGAATGTCACAAGTGGACTAGAGATTTTTTTATTCCTGTCAGCTCCCCTTCCCCACCCCTTTACACATGCTCATGTCCCCTTGGATGAAGGCTTCTGAAACGCCTGCTCTTCCCCCCCATTCCCTTATTGTTCCTTTTGGAGCCGAAGTTTCCCAGGAGAGTGCAGAACAGAACGACTCAGGACAGTAAAGATACTGAGTCCCAGACACGGGGCCACTCTCAGGGTGAATGGATTCTGGTACCCACGAAGCAGAGTGCTCTCAGGGCCTCCTCTCCAGACTCTCCCTCCCTCTGTCCCCGGGGTTATGAGAAAATCTGCCTTACACTTGACAGTGAAGACAAGCATGTCAAGAAAGAAAGAATCACCTGGCAAGACCATGCTCAAGTGTGAAGCCTAAGTAACTGTCCACTTTATCTCCACTGAACATCCTTCTGTTTGTGATGGCCAGTGCTGGCTTTTAATGTGGTTTCCATATCAGAAGTTCACATTGTGATTAACTGGCTTTTCCCCAGAATAAATTCTCAGGCAAGGCGTGTCTACGAGGCTTTAAGGAAGTGCATAGACGTGGGTACTAATGGCAATGGATGGTAATAAACTTGCTCTCCTACCATAATGCTTCCTGGCTCCTGTGAAATGTTTCCGCAAGCCAAATTCTCAGGGATGGAAGTCTGAACACTCATTTCCTGGGAGTCACTCCTCCCAGGATTTCTTTAATTTGCTAATTTCACTAACCGAAAGCCTTTGCCACGTGTGACTGGAGTAAGTTGTCATTATGGGTGTGAGTACACATGTCGCACAGCACAGGGGGTTGCACTCAAGTCGTCATCATAGCCTAATCTGTGTGTGTGTTCTTCACTGCACAAAAAGTCAATCACTTGTCACATTGGGGTTTTTGAGTGTTTGCTTTACGTAAGTGTTGGCTATTTCTATGTTTTATAAGCCAAAACAGAATTTCCAAAAACAATGAAGGAAACAAAAATAAATATTTCTACATTTGAAAAAGAAAGAAAGAAAGACGGCTCATGCACTAAAACTCTCATCTTTTGGTTAATGCCTAAAATTCCAGAGAGCCAATCCTTGATTTAAGGGTTTAATTTGTAAAATATAGACTATCAGACTATCAAGGTAGAGTTTCTCTTTGGGACTGAGTAATAACTACTATATTTTTAAAAATATATTTTATTGATTTTTTTTACAGAGAGGAGGGGAAAGGGATAAAAAGTTAGAAACATCGGCCGAAACCGGTTTGGCTCAGTGGATAGAGCGTCGGCTTGCGGACTGAAAGGTCCCAGGTTCAATTCCGGTTGAGGGCATGTACCTGGGTTTCGGGCACGTCCCCAGTAGGGGGTGTGCAGGAGGCAGCTGATCAATGTTTCTCTCTCATCGATGTTTCTAGCTCTCTATCTCTCTCCCTTCCTCTCTGTAAAAAATCAATAAAATATATTTAAAAAAAAAAGTTAGAAACATCGATCAGCGGCCTCTTGCACACCCCTACTGGGGACGTGCCCACAACCAAGGTACATGCCCTTGACCAGAATCGAACCTGGGACCCTTCAGTCAGCAGGCCGACAATCTATCCACTGAGCCAAACCCGTTAGGGCATAACTACTATATTTTTATACTGCACTTATCTAAAAGTGAGAAAACTGTATTTGCTCCAAATCCACTTTGGGTAAAGAGGGTAGGCAGAGAAAGTAGAAATAGGGAAACAGGACACACCTGGTAAGTACACATAAAACAAACACAGAACCTATTGATGGTAGGCTAGCTCAATTTCCTCCGATTACGAATATATACTGACGTTTTAATTTTGGTATTTGTTTTTTGACCTTTTTAGATTATAATGTTTGGGACTTTGTCTGTTTTACTTTAAGGGGCCATGCTTGCAAGTGAATATTACAAATTAATTTTCAAATACTCTCCTAATTTTCTAAACCTACTCCTGTGATCTTAATTTCTATTTTTATGTATTTGCTGATGTTAACGTAAAAACATTCAAACTTGTAAAGAATTTCTGTGAGTGTTTTAAACCAAACTGTCGACAATGGCTAGGAAGCAGAATCTCGATGGATCGGGAAAGTGCTCTGGAGAATGGCAGTCTTACACCTTGTTTTATACATTACAATCAAAGGAAGAGATGTAAGTGGATTACATGAAATCCCTTGGTGATAGATTAGGAAGGTGGGAAAAAGCAAAGGCGGGGGCGGGGGGCCTCTAGGATTGGATAAAAAGTAAAATGATAGACACATACTTCTTTTACTTAGGTGGGTATAGGATAGTTAACAGTCAACAATTAACAACAATAATGGAGAAATTTATAGTCTCAAGTCCTGGTGCCCAGGCATATTTGGTTGTGCCCTGAGGGGGTCCTGAAAAAGGGAAGTTATAAGTTACCCTGACATTTCACAGGTATGTTATCTTAGATACAAAAAGACAATAGGCTCAGTGAAGGTACAGATTGACTTTTGTCAGGGAAGATACTGGCCTAGGACATAAACTATAAACTGCTTTTAGTTAAAGTTTTATTTCAGACCATCCTTTGTGGTTACTTTAGGTCTTTGAGTTTGCAAGACCGCCAAGAAGGCCTTCCCTGAGCCTGTCAGTTTAGCATGTGGCCCTTTATTCATCCACACTCATGTTAAAGTTTTTGTAAAGATTAAATGAGTTAACACACGTAAAGCACTGAATACCCAGGATATAGTAAGTGGTCAATACTATTACTATGATTGATGCTGTTGTCTTCTGCTGCTTTGACCTTCAATATGTTCACTTTCCTTCCTCTACCTTCTCTTCAATCTAGCCTATTTCCTCTTCTGTTTTTACTGCTTACATAGTCTCACTGCTACTTGGCTCAACCAAAATTCCTTCTTTTTGCTCCTTACCACATTCCCCACAAGAACCAATCTAAACTTTTCCCATTCTTGAGCAGATGAATGTTCTTATATAGAAAATTGGAGTTATCAATCCAAAATTCCCTTCTCTTTTTTCTCAACACTTTAATTTCCCTGCATTCACATTCTCCTCTCTGCTTCAAATATTAGTTCTCCCCTCCTGCATCAAAGGAAGGAGTATTCTTCTGTGGCTTCTGCGCTCTCCATCTCTATTTTTTTATTCCATTCTTCATTTGGGATTAGGCTTGTCAGCAAATAACAGAAAATCACCAAATAACACTGGCTTCAAAAAAGACAAGTGTTTTTCTCAGGTGAAACAGATCTAGAAGTAGTCTGTTTAAGACTGATATGGCAGCTCCACCCATTGTCTGGGACCCATGCTTTTTTCTTTCTCGCGCCTCTGCCATCACTAAAGTGGCACAAACCTACTGCTTGCAAACCAGATAGCACACACTACTTTTCAGGGTGTAAAATGAAGTTAAAGAAGGCAAGGGAAGACCTCGCCGGTTTGGCTCAGTGGATAGAGCGTCAGCCCACAGACTGTAGGGTCCCAGGTTCCATTCTGGTCAAGGGCAAGTACCTTGGTTGCAGGTTCTCCTGCCCTGGTCAGGGTGCATGCAGGAGGCAACCAGCTGATGTGTTTTTGTGTTTCTCTCACATTGATGTTTCTGTCTCTCCCTCTCCCTTCCACTCTCTCTAAAAATCAATGGAAGAATATCCTCAGGTGAGGATTAACAAAACAACACCAACAACAACAAAAAAAAAACAAGAAAGAAAAGAAAAAAGAAAAGAAAAGAAGGCGGAAGGGAAGACATCCTCTCTTTTAAGATGTCCCTTAAGTGATGGATGCAGACAACAGGGGGTGAGGGTGAGGGCAGGACTGGAGGGATGAGGGGACAATGGGGAGATAAGGATACATTTGTAATACCTTAATCAATAAAAAAATACATAATAAAAAGATAATCTAAAAAAAAAGATGTCCCTTAAGAACTACACAACATTCAATTTATATGTAATTGCCCCAAATTTAGCCACATCTGGCTGCAAGGGAAACAATGAAAGGAGCTATTTAGCTGAGTGGCAGTGTGCCACTGAAAAATCTGTGTTTTGTAAAGGGGGAGGGGGAAGCCTTTCTGTTATAAAAGAAGTAGAAAAGAATACATTTAGTGAGGCACTCATCCTTTCTCACTTCCAACAATGTCCATCTTCTTCTTCAATCCCTTCCATTCCCCTCAAACATTCTAGCTCTCCACCCTTCATCCTAAAATAAATCCAAAAGCTTCTATTGATTGTCTTTCTCTTCCCTTCACTGCAAGAAATTTTTTTTATCTCTCCTCACAATTTCTTTAACATTTCTTCTTTTCTGCTTATTCCCAATCCCTAGTCACCATCTCACCTTTACGTCATATACCTGCCTAACTAGTCTGAGTTCCTGGGAAATGTAACATAAACATCGTTACCCCAACCAATTCTTTAAATGCTATTTTATTTATATTTAACTTCACAAATAATACAAGAGTGATTGTTTTTTTAAGAAAGTATACGTAAAGAGACATATGTACTACTTGTTAGGTTAGGTGGCTCAGGAGGCGGCGCAAGAAATAGAGTCCAGTGAATCAGAAAAGAAAGGAAAGGAAAAGGTTTATTCTGCGTCCTGGGAGACCCACGTACCCCAAGGACAGGGCACTGGATTCACGCCAACAGGGAGGGGGGCGCTTTTTTTATACTGCGGTTGGGTGAGGGGCGGGGACATGAGCTGAGGAATTCTCTGCTGCAGGGAATGGGCGGAATATTCAGGACGAAGTTCTTATCTGTGTGGGGGTATGTGAATTCAGGAAGAAGCTGGTATCTGTGTCTGGCACCTTGATCTGTGAGAAATTCCAGGGGAAGTCCATTATCTTGTCATGTCTGCATGTATCCGATCCTGGGCTCTCTCCGACCTAACACTACTACTTGTAATACCTTAAACAATAAAAAAAAAAAAAAAAAAACCCACGTAAGCAAAATTTTAAAAAAAAGTATACGTAATGCAAACGTCTCTTTCGGCCACATCCGAGGCTACATTAAAACCTTTAGAATTTGCCGAACCAGTGAAAGAATGGATGGAGGAGGGGAAGCGGGAACGCAGACCTCCGTCACGGCGAGTGTCACCGCCCCACAACGTGGGGCAAAAGGATGGTGCCCAGAGTGAACGCTAAACCCCATGCCCTCCGCGATCCCAGGGAATCGCCGGAACTCGGCCGGGGGGCGGGGGCGGAGGTAGGGAAGAGGTTCTCGCGAGATCAGGAATTCTCGCGGGAAACCGCGAGCGAGGCCCTTCTCTGACGCACTTCCGTGGCTCGGGAACCGAGACGGGCCAGGTGGTTGCCAGCCGGTGAGATGGTGGTCACCAGGTCGGCGCGGCCTCGGGCCGACATCCAAGCTACGTCGCCTGAAAGCTCCAGGCAGAAGGTAGGGAATAGCGAGGCTCCCTCTTTTCTGCTCGCCGCTTCGCAGAGTGGCGCCCGGGGAGGGGGCGGGGGGCGGGGGGCGGCGGCCCTGATGCTGGAGCGTCGGGACGAGCCTGCCTGCCGCGCGGGGCTGCGTCCCGGCCGCCGCTGAGCCTGTCACTTCCTCTGCTGTCTTTACGGCGGTCCTTAGTGTGGAACCGAGAGGTTAGTTAACTTGTTTCGGGTAGTTCAGCCCAAACCTTTTAACTTTACTGTTAACACCGTACTAAGGATTTGTTTTGGCCACCAAGCGTGAGCTAATTGAGCGGGTGTGGAGTGAAGGGCGCCTTTTCTCATGGGGAGGCTGGCGGAGACCCCACAGCACCTCCTTTTGGCGTGGGGAGGTCGGCAGTGATGCCGCCTGGCGGCTCTCGGTGGCGCTAGTTGTCGCTCCCTCTGATTCTGGGAGGAAGGAAAACGAATGTTAATTCTCTTACGTAGGTAAAGGTAAGGGCAGCGACCAGTTCTGTTGGTGTGTGTTCCTAAACCTATCTTTGCTCGGAGTTAATAGTCTCCTTATTCCCTCTCCCCCATATGTTTCGGAATATAGGTCCGCCTAGAATATTTGACATTTTTAGAAGTAGAAATATTTTCTTTTCAGTTATTATTATCATTATTACTTTGCTCTCTAAAGACAGAGTCAAGGACTTGGGTGAGGCGAATGAAGCAGGGCCCTGCAAATGCAGGGACAGATACAGTATATAAGTTTTTAAAATAATGGATGGTGGTGTTGGGTTTTGTGTTCATCTAGTTTACTGAGTTTTTTTTAGTGCTGTCTTAAAATTTGCTCCTGAGGGTAGTGCCTCACTCACCTTGCCCATGTCCTAGCCCTCCCTAAATCAACAGTGTGCATTCTCTGGCTTACAGAATTCTGCTGAAAGAATTCAAGCGAATCCAAAAGGCAGGAAGGAATCTCCATCTGATGACTCAAGAACTGCTGGATCACAGGGCAATAGGAAACAAAGTCCAATCCCTAAAACTCCTAAAACTGGGACAAGAAAGAGCAGAACTAGAGCCTCATTATCAGAAATGAACAAACCAGCTACTGATGGAGAGACCTCTGAAGCAGATTCAAATTGTTGTTCTGTATCTGAGCCCCAGGATTCCATTTTAAGAATAACTAGGAGAAGGCAAATCTTAGTTCCATGCACCCCAGTGTCCAGTGTTAGGAAAAGGCTGAAAATAACTTCAATAAGTGAGTCTCATACTGAAGAAGAAGTCTCTGAAGCAGAATCGCATGTTTCAGGTATTTCTAGAATTGTGCCTTCTACAAGAACCAGAAGTAAGGCTAAATCCCTAACAGATCCAAGCCAAGAATTACATTCAGAAGCTATTTCTGATGCTGAATCATCATGCTCAGAAATTTCTACATTTTCTGGAATTGCAACTAGAACAACGAGGAGTATGCAGAGGAAATTACAGGCACAAACAGAGAAGAAAGATACTAAAATTATACCAGGAAATGAAAAGCAAATGATAAACTCATCTATGAATTCAGATACTAGACAAACTTCTTGTTTACAAGCCAGATCTCTTTCTCAGATAAATAAGCCAAATATCTCTAATGAAATCTGTAATGATTTTGATAATGATTCCTTCCATGGAAAGTCTGGAAAAAAACCAACAGTGCAAAAATGCCAACGTCTTAATAAAAAAAGGGAAAAAAAGGCTAATGTTGCACCTCTCAAAGAAATAACAAAGCAGAATTGTAAGAGTTTAGATGAAGAAGCCGAAGGAATGATAGATAAGGAGAAAGAAATTAATGAGAAAAATTCTGAGTTGAAGAGTTTTCCTGAACTTCAGGACAGTGGCCTTCAGCAGTTAATTTCTGAGAGGCATTCAACCCCCCAAAATAACAAAACTACATCAAAGCCCTCAAATCTGAACTCTGAGGCTATAATGAAATCATTAGCTCAAACATTTGCAGTTGTGGAAATAGACAGATGGACTGAAGAGAGAAAGAGCACCATAAAAAGAAGTGACTTCACATCTAGTGATGGTGGTGGTAGTGATGAAGAAGAGTGCACAATTATAGCTGATAGTGAAGACATGAATGAAGAAAGAGATGTAGATTTTGAGTGTGATACCAAACTGTACAAGTCTGAGCTCAACACATCTCAGGATGATTCTGTTTTATTACTTCTCAGCAGTGATGAAAGCCAGCAGTCTGAAAACAGTGAGATTGAAGAGGACACTATGTGTTTTGTTGAAAATAGTGTTCAAAAGGGGTTATTACATGGAGATTCAGAAAATAAGTTATCTGACAATGCATTGTTTGTAATTGACACAACTCCTGGATTAAGTGCTGATAAAAATTTTTACTTGGATGAGGAAGACAAGTTCAGTGAGGTTGCCACTGAGGAAGAAAAAGAGGAGGAGGAGGAGGAGGATGAAAAAAGTGAAGAGCCATCAGACCAAGATGAAAATGAAGATGAGTTTAGTGATGAAGACGACTTACTAAATAGCACAAAGTCTAAACTGTAAGTCTTGCCTTTATTTAAAATAAGTTTTTGATACATATTTCAAGTGGTTAATTTACCATTAAAATATTAAGAAGCCAGGGAATTGAGGAAATTATTGCCTCGAGTTCTATATGGAAGAGCTCTTTTATCCAGCATTTCCTTCATCTCTCTGGATGCCTATGTTAATCATATTTTTCCCAACAATGATAGCTAAAAGTGCTTCTTTTGGTGATATATTAAAAATCATCTGTTAGTATTTTCCTGCATGATTGTTAATAGCAATATAAAAGGGAAGAAAATAATTTATTTTTTACTATATGTTGATTGTAGAGAAGTTGAAAAATAAAAGCCATCTATCAACCACTGAAAGGCATTAATGTTTAGGGCTACTTCTTTAGTTTCTTTTTCTTTGCTTTAAATTTGTTTTTCCCAAGTACAGGCCCTGGTAGCAATGTATCCACAAAATACAGGCATCCTTATAAGGAATTACATATTAATGGATGCCTAGTGAAATCAGTCTGAGGATAGGCTCAGGCATTTTTATTTTTTAAAAGCCATGGTCCTCTGTAGTAGTATAATTACAATGTACAGTCAGGGTTGAGAATTTCGAGACACTGCAATAGAATGATTTCACTTTCCACTAAAGGTTGATTATCAAAACTTTTAGCTGCTCAGTTTATATGAATAATTAGGAAAGAAAGTGACTGTAAGTCCAAATATACTTGCTTATAAAAAGGACCTTTCAGTAATATAAGGTAGAAATTCTCATTACATTAATATAGTAGGACCCCCAGGCCAACAGCAGAAGAGTCTAATTTGTTAGGTCTGGGGAAAGACAGTTTTTTAAAAGTTCCTGTGGGAAATATGGATGCTCATCTGTTTAAAATTTCTTTGGTTTAGTGGCACTACCAAATGCCTTTGATTACCCAGAATATTCTAAGTTTGGATAACTTGGAAATTCAGAGTAGAATAACCTGTCTTTCTCATTGGTTTTATTTTTAATTTTTATCAGAGTTACTGTCTTCCTGTATTATCTCATTGGTTTTAGAGATGAAAGTTTGTACGTTTATTGATTCACTACCTATATATGAAGTTGAGCCAAATTGCCAGAGGCAACTCATCTTCTTTTCTGTAATTCTTTTCTTTATAAAAATCCTGTTAAGAAATCAATCGTTATATTATATGGCCTTAACCCTCTTAAAGAAAATCTGAGGAATAAATTTGCATGTGCTACCAGAAAAACTTTAGTTTAATTCATTATTCATCCCCGAATTTTTTCCTTAATGTCTTTTACTAGATTATGTATTTGTTCAGTTTTTCAAAACTTCATTCCAAAGATAAGGATTTGTTTTGGTCGTTGACAGTAAAGGGGGAGAGAAGGGGAAAAAAGAAATTTTGAAATAGTCTCAATTGTTTCCATTTTGATTTAATTACTTGATCTTTAAGTGATCATTTCTCTTTCAGTCTGAAGTTGACAAGCAGCACCATAGACCCTGGTCTGAGTATCAAGCAATTGGGTGGTTTGTATATAAATTTTAATGCAGACAAACTACCATCAAACAAGAAAACCCTAACACAGATCAAGGAGAAAAAGAAAAATGAGGTAAGTTACATAGAACTAGCCAATTACTTCTAGAAATGATTAGTCCTTGATAAGAGACCAATTTTCCTACAGTGAAATCATATCAAGCCTGCTGTGCTCCTTTTTTCCTTCTTTCCAGAATAATCGTCACTCTTTTTTATGAAGTCCTAGCTGCAAAGGATGACTCTCTTGCACCCACCAGTTATGATCCCAGGGGGAGTTGTATTTTCTTCTCTTTTCTTGCTATACTTTTAGTTCTTAACTGTTCTGGACTGTGATGAGAATCTGAAGGCTGTGAGTGCCTGCCTCCCTCACTAGGAAAAGACTTAAAATTGTACATTTAATTTCAGAAGAAAATTATAGGGTAGGTAATCTCATCCAAATCCTCAGCTTTAGCTGTCCCCTTGCATAGCTTCACATTTGTATTTTCTAGCCTTGTGCATCTTCAGGTCTTTCTTCAAGACTTTAAATCCAGGTGCCTGTAGTCTGTTCTTTATATGTGCTCAGGCACTTGACCTCACTAATTGCCCTACTTCTCTATTCTCTGCCTGAACCAGCTCTTTCTTTTCTATCATGGTTAATGATGCCAAAATCTTTCCATTTTGCAATCAAAAAGCCTAGGCTACAAGGCTTCTTACATACTTTCTACTCTGTTTCCTCCTTTCACCCCACTGTCACTGGCTCATGCAGGCCTTTAGACTACCGCAATAGCCTTCTTACTCATTGTTCTTCAAGCTATTCTCCATACTCTTGCTAGATTTCCTAAAAACATAAATCTGAGCATTATACTCTGTTGAAGTCTTTCAGTGGTTCCTCAGAGCTTTTAATGTGCCTTTATTCCTCCAACTCTATTCACTTGCTGCATTCTTGCCATTGAAGACTGCTAGTTATCTAACATACCTTGATCTTTCCCAGGCTAATACAGAGATAGATCACTGTCTTTGAGAAACATTGTTTGATCCTAGTGCTTCCCCTAACCTCCTTTGTGCTTCTGCAACATCCAGTATCGATCGGATCCATTATTAATCATTATTTTATTATTTTAATCGTTATATGATTGTTATTTTATTGTCTTTTATATTTATATTCCTAAAACAGGGTTTCTCAACCTCAGCAATATTTGCATTTTGGAATGGATAATTCTTTGCTGTGGGAGAGTGTCTGCGCATTATAGGATGTTTAGCAGCAGACTTGGCCTCTATCCACTAGATGCGAATAGCATCCACACCCCACACCATATACACACATTCACAAACACCAAAAATGTCGTCAGACATCGCCAATTGCTCCCAATGGAGAACCACTGTCTTAAACCCTAGTATGGTACTTGACACACAACAACTTCTTAATAATTTGTTAAATGGCTTGCTTTCTTTTCTGAGTGATAGGAATGTCTAGACTGCTACTGTGCTACCCAGAAACTTCTAAGCCTAAACCTGAATTGGGTATGTCTGAATTGATAATTGATAATGTTAAATGTTATTGACCAAATTAATATATGCGTATTTCCTATGAACTAATTTGAGGACAAAGGAGTAGTCTTTTTTAGTTCTTGCACTGGGGGAAATTACTAATTACCCTAAGGCTTCTTTTAGTCACATAAATGGTATTTATTATAATATTTAATCATCCTAGGCAAAAAGACAAAAAATGCAGAAGTAATTTAGGAAAGATGAACAGATTTGACTGACTACATAAAATTTTAAAACTTAAGCAGTTAAAAACACCTTAAAGACAAGTAAAGGACTACATTCATATCACTAAGATACAAAGTACATTTCTACAAATTAATAACACAATCCTAATTTAAAATGAAAAAAAACCCCACAAACAAAACAAAAACAAAAAACTACAGGCATTCCCACAGAAGAGGACTTGATGTGTAAAGATGATCAACAGCAAATGAAAATAGCCAAGAGACACCACTGACAACATACAAGAAGATAATACTCAGTGTTGGTGACAAAATAAAGATAAGGGCCCTGATAACTGTTGGTAGGAGTTTATATTATTTGAATGCAAGCAATTTAGCATGACCTATAAAATTTTTAAATAACACATTTTGGAATTTGTTTTACAAAAGTAATCACAAGTGTGCAGAGGTGGTGTTTATAATGATTAATGGAAAAATGTTTAATATAAACTGTTAAAACTAAATGTCAGAAGGAAACCTGTGGTGTATATCAGCTATTAAGAAAATTGTTGATCTGTGTATAAATTGACATTTAAAGATCCGAGATACACTGAGTTGCAAAAAGCAGATTTGTCTAGATAGGATGATCTCATTAGTATAACATAAAAAGTATATGTTGTTGAATCAAAATCTGTATCATGTACTTAATAGTCTAGCCTGTCTCCTCAGATTACAAGCTGTTTTACCAACATCAGAAGAACTTACTAAAAACCTGTCAGGTTTTCTTCAGGGATTTCAAGAGCCATTGTGGCATTGTTCCCATTGTCTTATTTTCCAGTTGTTTGGTACAGGTGGCTGGTTGCACACCAGTAAGTACAAGTAGACACAATGTAAATCCAATGTGTGCAAATTCAGATTAGTAAAAGAAAGTTGAACTGATCGATTTCATAGATTTCCTAAAAAAATCCTGGACATCCTTCCAGATGACCTTCTGGATGAAGCCGGGGCTGCAAGGGAAGTCCGGATCCCAGGTGCCTGCCAGCAGTTTGAGGGAAGCCTGGGTCCTGAGTTCCAGAGGGAAGCCAGTGCCGGCAGCCAGGGGAAGGAAGGCCTACTTTTGCACAAATTTCGTGCATTGGGCCTCTAGTTGTAATATATTTTACAAATTTAAAGACAGGTACAACTTTGCAGTAGTATGTGCATAAAGAAGGTTAATATAGCCCAGCCAGTGTGGTTCAGTGGTTGAGCGACCTATGCACAAGGAGGTCACCAGTTCAGTTTCCTGGTCAGGGCATATGGTTATGTTGCAGGCTCTATCCCCAGTGGGGGTGTGTGCAAGAGGCAGCTGATCGATGTTGATATTTCTCTCCCTTCGATGTTTGTATCTCTCTCCCCCCTTCCTCTCTCTCTAAAATTAATAAAAAGTTTTTTTTTAAAAGGTGAATATATTTGGAGTAGTCTTCAGTCTTTTTTTATTTTTATTAAATCTTCATTGTTCAGATTATTACATTTGTTCCTCTTTTTTCCCCCCATAACTCCCCTCCTCCCAGTTCCCGCCCCACCATCCACCCTCACTCCCCACCCACTGTCCTCATCCATAGGTGCACGATTTTTGTCCAGTCTCTTCCCGCATCCCCCACACCCCTTTCCCCCCCAAGAATAGTCAGTCCATTCCCTTTCTATGTCCCTGATTCTATTATAATCACCAGTTCATTCTGTTCATCAGATTATTTATTCACTTGGTTCTTAGATTCACTTGTTGATAGATGCATGTTTGTTGTTCATAATTTGTATCTTTACCTTTTTCTTCTTCTTCCTCTTCTTAAAGGATACCTTTCAGCATTTCTTATAATACTGGTTTGGTGGTGATGAACTCCTTTAGCTTTTCCTTATCTGTGAAGCTCTTTATCTGACTTTCAATTCTGAATGATAGCTTTGCTGGGTAAAGTAATCTTGGTTGTAGGTTCTTGGTATTCATCACTTTGAATATTTCTTGCCATTCCCTTCTGGCCTGCAAAGTTTCTGTTGAGAAATCAGCTGACAGTTGTATGGGTACTCCCTTGTAGGTAACTGAGTTTCTTTCTCTTGCTGCTCTTAAGAGTCTCTCTTTGTCTTTTGCTCTTGGCATTTTAATTATGATGTGTCTTGGTGTGGTCCTCTTTGGATTCCTTTTGTTTGGGGTTCTCTGTGCTTCCTCGACTTGTAAGTCTATTTCTTTGACCAGGTAGGGGAGGTTTTCTGTCATTATTTCTTCAAATAGGTTTTCAATAGCTTATTCTCTCTCATCTTCTGGCACCCCTATAATTCTGATGTTGGTACGCTTGAAGCTGTCCCAGAGGCTCCTTACACTGTCTTCGTATTTTCGGATTCTTTTTTTATTTTGCTTTTCCAGTTGGGTATTTTTTGCTTCTTTGCATTTCAAATCTTTGACTTGATTCTTGCGCTCCTCTGGTCTGCTGTTGGGAGTCTGTATAATATTCATTATTTCAGTCAGTGTATTCTTAATTTCTTGTTGGTCCTTTATCACAACATCGAGGGTCTCATTAGATTTCTTGAGGATCTCACTACATTTATCGGCGGTCTCACCAGTCTTTTTGAGGGTCTTACTAAATTTATCGGCGGCTTCTAGACAGTTCTTGAAAGACCTTAAAAGTGTGGTTTTGAACTCTATATCCAGTAGTTTGCTTTCCTCCATTTCTGTCATTTGTGTCCTGTTTCTTTGTCGCCGCATTTTTTATGCTTTCTTGGTGCACCCCCTAGTGGTCTTTGTGCACAGTCTTGTTCTAGTTAAGCCTTGATTATTGTAGGTAACACTGGGGGAATTTGACCTCCAGGCCAACTGGCTGTGAGAATCTAGTCTTCAGTCTTGAGAGATGTTTCCATAATAAGGCAAAAAATGATGAAAAAGCAATATGACATTTTGAAGTTTTAAAACAAATTTAATATTTTTATAGATTATGCAGAAAGCCATCATTACTCCTGATTTTGAAAAAAACTACTGTGTCCCACCTTATCGTGAATCAAAACATCAGCTTCAAAAACAACGCAGAGTAAGTACAGTGGCTCATTATTTAGAATGTTTAGATATATTCAGCTCATGTATGACACTAAAGGCCCGGTGCATGAAAATTCATGCACTGGAGGTGGGGGGTCCCTCAGCCCGCCCGGCCTGACCCCTCTCACAGTCCAGGAACCCTCAAGGGTGGGAGGCGACCTGGCGATCAGGGGAAGGCAATGCCCCATCACACCCCAAGCATCGGTCGGCCCTGGTTACCTGAGGCCTGGGCGGCTGGCCGGCTGGCCGGCTGGCCATGGGCGTCTGGGGGGCTCAGGGGACTGGGGTCTTTGGAGGCAGGCATGCGGAGCAGCCCGGCCCTCCTGGGGGCGGGCCTAACCTTGCTGCGCGCCTGCTGCCCCAGTGGGGCTGAGGGGACTGGGTGCTGCCATCTTTGAGGGCAGGGCAGTCAATTAGCATATTCCCTTTATATTAGATAGGATGGTTATGCAACTAAAATTTTTTTTTTTTTGGAAGAAAATTGTTACAGATACCTAAGGGCTTATAAAATGTGGTTCCATAAACATATTTTATATGGATTTTCACAAAGTGAAAGTGCACTAAGTGGTGCACATAGATATAACTTTTTTCCTTAAAAACAGTGACAATTACCATGTAAGATCACTATCTATTCCTCTTGGCTTATGGGTACCATTCACTAAAAGCCAAGAACTATTTGTCTGTTGCAGGCTATTGTAGGGAACTTAATGTAGCCAGCTAAAAATCTAGTTTATTTAGTCTACCAAATGAACTGGTTTCTTTAGTAAAATACGGAGCAGGGCATTGCTTCTATCTGACATTTCAACTGATAAGCATAAAAAACTTATCAAGAGAGTTTGGAGGAAATTTAAGGAAGGTGCTCCAATAATGTCACTAATGTGAAACACCTAGGCACATGGTAGATACTAGATAATATTGGTTGTATGAATGGAACAAAAAAGCAAATCACTTGCTAGGAGTTTTTAAAAGAATAATTTTTTAAATATGTTTTTTTAAATTGATTTTAGAGAGAGATATATATCAATCACTTGCCTCACATATGCACCCTGACCAGGACTGGACCTAAAACCTGGGTATGTGCCCTGACCAGGAATTTAATTGGCAACTTTTTGGTGCATGGGATAAGATGCTTAACCAACTTAGCCACACTGGCTGGGGCTAATTTGTTATTTTTATTTTTTTAATATATTTTTATTGATTTCAGAGAGGAAGGGAGAGAGAGAGATAGAAACATCAATGATGAGAGAGAATCATTGATAGGCTACCTCCTGCATGCCCCCTACTGGGAATCAAGCCCGAAACCCTGGCATGTGCCTTGACCGGGAATTGGAACTGTGACCTCCTGGCGATCAGGGGGGCATAGTTCAACTCTCAACCACTGAGTCACGCTGGCCAGGTTATTTTTATTTTTTAAGAAGTAATACAAATTTCTGGACTGTTGGAGTGACTGACTTTGAGATACCTGAGTGGCTGAATAAAAGTGTTAATGTTTACATATTAACTTTAGAAGCAAAAATGTTTTTATACATTATCTCTTATGTAGACTATTTTAGACAATAGAAATTAAAGCTGTGGGTTTTTCTCCCAGTAAGTCAGCAAAATTAAATTTAAAGGAGCCCTCATTTTTGACATCGGTAATGCTTTACCTAATTTACCAGAGAGATTACTTTTTGTGGTTTCATTCCTTTTTTGCAGGATAAATCTGGAGACTAATACGTTCTGTAAAGTAACACCTTATTTGTTTTAATTAATGAAATTTTCTGTATGTACAATTTGGGGGGAAATAAGGTATAGTTTATACACTTTATTAAAGTTAGAGTGTTATTTTTGAAATCTGAATTTCAGAAAGAGCGACAAAAAACAGCAGGCGATGGCTGGTTTGGTATGAAAGCTCCAGAATTAACAGATGAACTAAAAAATGATCTCAAAGCACTGAAGATGAGAGCTGGCATGGACCCAAAAAGGTTTTATAAGAAAAACGATAGGGATGGCTTCCCTAAGTACTTCCAGGTATGAAGCAAACAAAATAACGGTGGTGACATTCTGTGGATTTTAGCTTTGAAAGCATTAAAGTGTGACCTTTCTGTTCACTCTTAAGATAGATGAATATTTGCAATGCACATCTGCTCAGGCCATATAATAATGGTCAGAACCCAATTCAGATAGCCACCAGCTTGTAATGGCTTTCCATAGAGAGAAACAGTGTTGCAGATGGTAACTAGGTTCCTACATCAGCTCTCTAAAAGTTGTGGAACCTAAAGGTGGGTGTTCCATCCATGAATACTACTAGCCTATGAGCAAGAATTCTTACAGAATGGAGGGGGAAGGAGGGAATCATTTGTACCAACTCTTCTTTTCAAGGTAGAGGGATATTCCCAGGCAAATAGAAGATAAGTTAAAAATTGGTTTTCAAAGTATTTTCAGATGAAAGTCCAATGGAGTCATCCTCTGGAGCTCTCAAATTCATTTTGTTCTTGACTACCTTTCATGTCACTCATCTGGATTATTAGAATAGTCTGCCCTCCCTTCTAGTACATCCTCCATATTGTAGCCAGTTATTCTAAAAAAGGGGCAATCTGTTCAGTGATAGCACAGATATCACTTAATGATACCTTCAGTGATTCTTTGTGACCTTGATAGGGCCCTTCACAATCTGCACCCAAACCAGTTCACCAGTCCTCACTTTGTCACATAGCCCTCTTATGCGCAAACACACACAACTACTCAGTCTTCTTGGAATATGCAGACGGTTTTGGCATTTGACTTTGCCTGTGCTTGACTTTGCCATGTTTGCTGGTGAAATTTTACCCATATAAATCCAAGCTAAAATGTCATCCTTTGTGAAACCTTTATCTCTCTCAGACACAATTGGTCACTCAGTTTTTAGAGCATTGTAATCTTTTGTTCAGCATAATACTGTGTTATGCTTTAATTTTGTAGTTACCTGTCCATGAATCTTCCTTCTAAGACTGGGCTACTTGCTGCCAGGGACCATATGATCTTTATCTTTGTTTCCCTATACCTAAGACAGTGCCTGGCACATAGTAGACACTCGGTAAATTTACTTGTTTGAATCTATGAACTAATGCAGAATGGTCAATAAGAAGGTTCTAAGCTGGCAGCATTTATGATAATCTAGGACAGTGGTTCTCAACCTTCCTAATGCCGCGACCCTTTAATACAGTTCCTCATGTTGTGGTGACCCCCAATTTCATTGTTACAAATTGAACATAATTAAAGCATAGTGATTAATCACAAAAACAATATGTAATTATATATGTGTTTTCCGATGGTCTTAGGCGACCCGTGTGAAAGGGTCGTTTGACCCCCAAAGGGGTCGCGACCCACAGGTTGAGAACCGCTGATCTAGGAGATCAAATAGGTGGGAAGTAGAATTTCTGTGTTGATTTCATTAATTTGGGAAGCTAAAACAAAAGTTTGTATTACCTGTCCCACTTTTTTTCTCTAATTACGCTGTTCATCAAGAATTTACTGTACTGTCTAAATTATATAAGGAATTTTGGGTTTATTATAAACTAATGAAGAAATGTCATTAGGACCTAATGGAGATTAAATAGGTGATTTATTTTTGCTCTTAAAAATTAACTTTAATGTTGGTGTAATGTATGCTTATGTTTTTCATTTCTATAAATACATTTTGTAAGAGCTACTCTGAAATAAGAAAGCAACATTGCATTCAGGTGTCACATGACTTATTTTATCAATTGCTCATAGATTGGAACCATTGTTGACAATCCAGCTGACTTCTACCATTCACGAATTCCCAAGAAACAAAGGAAGAAAACTATTGTGGAAGAATTGCTGGCTGATTCTGAGTTTAGAAGGTAAAGGAATTTATGTTTCGCTTTATAACATGTATACTTTCCTTTACAATATGCATACACTTAAAATTTCAGATATTTTTAAATGCTTTATTTTAGCATGCCTTCTCAACAGTAGCACTACTTACATTTTGGATGGGATAATTCTTTATTAGGAGGGACTTTCATGTGCATTGTAGGATGTTTATCAGCCTCCTTGGCCTCTTCCCACTATATGCCCGTAGCAATACCCCATTCATAACAATAAAAATGTCGTCAGACATTTCCAAGTGTCCCCTGCAAGGCATAAGCATTCCCAGTTTAGAACTGCTTAGGGAGAAGATAAAAATATTTGACTGACTAGAGATGAATGAGCCTGCTAAGAAGACTAGGAAAGAATAGCCAAGGGGGCATTAAGAAAACCAGGAGGACACAATGACATAGAAGTCAAGGAAAGAGAATGTTTTAAGCAAGTATAAGCCAGAGGAAGTGATTAACAGAAATGCTGCTGAATAAGAACTAAAAACTTCCTTTGGATTTAGTTACAGTAACTGGCAGGGGCTTTAGGGGAGTGATAGGGAAGAAAACTGGAGAGTGAGTTGAAAGTGAAGAAATGGCATAGTCGTTGTGGCTTAATGGTTGAGTGTTGAACAAGAGGTCACTGTTCGATTTCGGGTCAGGGCACATGCCCGGGTTTTAGGCTTGATCCCCAGTAAGTAGCGTGCAGGAGGCAGCCGATCAATGATTCTTTCTCATCGATGTTTCTATCTCTCTCTCCCTCTCCCTTCCTCTCTGAAATAAATAAGAAAATATATTTTTCTTTAATAAAAAGAAAGACATTTAAGACATTCAACAATTTAAAAAAAGAAAATGAAGAAATGAACACAACTCTTTGAAGTTCTGTTGTTAAGAGGAAGAGAGAGGCAGGGCTAGTAGATATGGACTTAAGCGGATTTTTTTAAAAAATATATATTTTATTGATTTTTTTACAGAGAGGAAGGGAGAGGGATAGAGAGTTAGAAACATCGATGAGTGAGAAACATTAATCAGCTGACTCCTGCACGCCCCCTACTGGGGATGTGCCCGCAGCCAAGGTACATGCCCTTGACCGGAATCGAACCTGGGACCCTTGAGTCCGCAGGCTGATGCTCTATCCACTGAGCCAAATCGGTTAGGGCAAGAGGATTTTTTTAAAGATGGGAACAATTTGAATATGTTTAAAGCTCCTTGAAGCAGCTATGTATATATTATAGGAGATTTAAAAGCATATCTGCTAAAGTCCCAGATTGGTTTAATAGCAAAAGTGAAAATATTTATCAAGGGTTCTAAAAATAATATAGATTGTGGGTATGGAAAATGTTATGGAAGCTATTTAATGAGTCTGGGTAATGGTAAAAATTTGGAAATAAGCACTATCAACATTGCTGTGATTTCTGAGATTGCCATCATCAAGATTACAAAATACAGTTCAATTTTATCCACAACATATGGGTAACACCTAGGTATTAGAACACTAAAGAATAATATATATATAAATAGCCAGGGTCCGTAATATCCAATCGACTGAAGACTCGACCAAACACCGGAAGTCAGGCATGCTGGGTCGCCATGGCAACTCAGCACTGACTGCTGCGCTGCGGGCACTTCAGCTGAGGCTACTCAGCAACTGACTGCCGAGGGGGCTGCGATCAGGCCCAGACAGAGGCTGGGAGAGAAAGGCAGGGTCTGATCGCAGCCCCTGTAGCAGTCAGTGCTGGGTCAGCGTGGTGGAAGTCACTCCTGCAGTCATTGCTGAGTCACCATGGAGACCCAGCACTGACTGCCGCGCTGCTGGCTCCTCAGCGACCCAGCACTGACTGCTGAGTGGGCTGTGTTCAGGCCCAGACAGAGGCTGGGAGAGAAAGGCAGGGTCTGATCGCAGCCCCTGTAGCAGTCAGTGCTGGGTCGGTCTGGCGGTAATCCTGCAGTCAATGAACATAGGGTCAATATCTCATTGAGAGGAGTTGAGAATATAAAGTACAGAGTAGAGTAATTACTTATATTATTTTACATAAAACTCTTCAGCTAAGATATTTTCCTTTATTTAAAATGTATCTTTATTGTTGGAAGTATTGCAGATGTCCCTTTTAGTTTTTTTTTCTTCTCCCCATTGATCTCCACCCTGCACCCGCCCCTTCCAGGCCTTTGCCAGACTATTGTCTGTGTCCATGGGCTATTCCTATCTAATACATAAAAATCTAGAAAGATTTAGAGAAAATAAAATAAAAGATATGCCAGGTAAATATTGAACAGAAGAGCTGAAGTTGCTGCATGAATACTGGATACCGGCTTGAAGCCAAAACACAACTCATGAGATAAAGTTAGTCATTGTAACATAACAAAAGGTTTCTTTCACTAAAGAGATAAGATGGTTCCCAATACTTATACACATAATAGAACAGTGTGGGGGTTCAGAATGAGCCTCACCAAAATGTGTCTCAGTGGTATGTAGATTTTTGAGCTAAGGGCAATTTTAGCTTCAGGCTCAAGTGAAAATTCTGCCCCTCCCTTTACCTAAAAAAAATTGAATTAGAGGCCTTGCCCATAATAACACTTTATCATAATAAAAGGCTAATATGCAAATAGACCAAACAGCAGAACGACCGGTCGCTATGACACGCACTGATCATCAGGGGGCAGATGCTCAGTGCAGGAGCTGTCCCCTGGTGGTCATTGTGCTCCCACAGGGGGAGTGCTGCTCAGCCAGAAGCCAGGCTCATGGCTGGCTAGCACAGCAGCGGTGGTTGGAGCCTCTCCCGCCTCTGCAGCAGCACTAAGGATGTCCGACTGATGGCTTAGGAACATCCCCTGAGGGCTCCCAGACTACGAGAGGGTGCAGTCCAGGCTGAGGACCCCACCCCCACCCCCAGTGCATGAATTTTGTGCACCAGGCCTCTAGTCTTGGAATAAATAAGTTGGGGCAGTAACCTAGAAATGTAGTAGAATGAAGCATGTAAAAGGGTACTATACTAATTAGACTGAGAGACCTTCTGGACAAAGCCATGGTGGCGGGGCCGAAGCAGAGGCAGAGGCAGTTAGGGGCGATCAGAGCAGTTGGGAGTGATTAGGCCGGCCGGGGGGGCGGGGGGCGGGGGGCAGTTGGGGGCAAGCAGGGCAGCAGGGGGGGCCAATTGGGGGTGAGCAGGTTGGCGGGGTGGAGGCAATCAGGCCAGTGGGGGGGCAGTTTGGGGTGAGCAGGCCGGCGAGCAGGGTAGGGCAGTTGGGGACGAGAAGGCCAACAGGCAGAGTGGTTAGGGGTGATCAGGCAGGCAGGTGAGCAGTTAGGAGCCAGTGGTCCCGGATTGCAAGAGGCATGTCTCCCGGGGGGTCCCAGATTGGAGAGGGTGCAGGCCGGGCTGAAGGACACCCCCCCCCCCCCCCGTGCACAAATTTCATGCACCAGGCCACTTGTGAAGTATAAAATTGCAAGTTAGAGGTTGTCATATCAGCTCATTGTTTACCATACCTCAGTCATTGAATACCATTTTCACAATGTTACACAATTATCTGTGTACTGCTTACTTTATTTTAAAAGGAAGGAGACTTTATATTGCTACTGTAAATGAGTTTACTAATTATATTTTTCTATATACATTAAGATAAAATACATTACTTGAAATGAATATTGTCTGTTTTATCACTGAAACTTACATGGCACAATGTGTGGAACACTGACGGAAGTTTTTTTTTTTTTTTTTAATTCTTTATTGTTTAGATTATTACAGTTGTTCCTCTTTTTTCCCCCCACAGCTCCCCTCCACCCGGTTCCCACCCTACCCTATGCCCTTACCCCCCCACCACCACTGTCCTCATCCATAGATGTATGATTTTTGTCCAGTCTCTTCCCGCACCCCCCACACCCCTTTTCCCCCTGGAAATAGTCAGTCCACTCCCTTTCTATGCCCCTGATTCTATTATATTCACCAGTTTATTCTGTTCATCAGATTATTTATTCACTTGATTTTTAGATTCACTTGTTGATAGATATGTATTTGTTGTTCATAATTGGTATCTTTACCTTTTTCTTCTTCTTCTTCTTAAAGGATACTTTTCAGCATTTCATATAATACTGGTTTGGTGCTGATGAACTCCTTTAGCTTTTTCTTATCAGTGAAGCTCTTTATCTGACCTTCAATTCTGAATGATAGCTTTGCTGGGTAAAGTAATCTAGGTTTTAGGTTCTTGCTATTCATCACTTTGAATGAGGGAAGTTTTAATCCCCTCTACCCTGGCTCAAGAGGTTGTCTCTGACCACTTTGGGAAAGAGAACTTCACAGAATATATTTAATGCATCAGATGTTCATTAGTAGGAATGTTCTGGGACAGAAAAAAAATGTGCTTTTCTTTGTTATGTGGTTTTTTGTTTTAATTCATTTTTTTCAAATTATTTTTATTGATTTGAGAGAGAGAGAGAGAGAGAGGAAGGTAGGGAGAGAGAGAGAGCGAAACATCAATTTGTTGTTCCATGTATCTATTCATTCAATAGTTGATTCCTGTATGTGCCCTGACCAGGGATCGAACCCACAACCTTGACTTGTTGTAATGATGCTTTAATCAACTAAGCTACCTGGCCAGGGCTGGCTTTGTTTTATTTTTAATCTAACCTTAGATTTGTTAGAAAGTCTGTATAAGTTGTGTTTTGGGGATAGGATGGGCTGTAAAGTTGTAAAGGCTTTAAATAGCTTCTGTTTTAGAGAGAATTTTAGCTAATCCTTGGGTTTAGTAATGTGATAACAGATTTATTTACACAGTGAATGTGCTTTAGAACAAAGGAATTTTGTATATTTAGAGAATTTAACTTTTCATAATTAACTGTGGGCTGACAACTTCTAGCTACCACAGCATTATTTTTCTGCAATAAATTGTGCTTCTGTGTTTCCAAAGCCCAATGGGGAAATACAGTCTATAGTAGCAATTCTCTGGTCTGAGGATGCCTTTACACTCTGAAGAATTATTGAAGACCCAGAGAACTTGTGTTCTGTGGGTTACATTTATCAATATTTACCATAATGGAAATTAGAATTTAGAAACTTTAAGAATATTTATCAATTCATTTTAAAGTAATAAACCCATTACACATTAACATATTTTCATGAACAAAACAAAAATAATGAAATTTAGATCTCTTTTATGTCTGGCTTAAAGACAGTTGGAGCCTCATATCTGCTTCTGTGTCAGTCTGTTGTGATACAACACATTGTGTAGCCTCAGGAAAACTTCCCTGTACACTCATGCGATAGGCAACGATGTCTTAGTATACTTGTAAAATAGTGTTTACCTAATGGACTCCTAGAAGGGTCTCATTCCCAGACCATATTTTGAAAACCATTGGTCTTTGGTATATTTCTTAAGGTTCTAAGAAGTATATTTGTGAGTTTATAGGTAAGTGCAAATTTTTTGTTTTACTTAGTCCTTCTATTTTATTTATATTTTTATCCCACAAAAATATTTAAAGCATTTGATATTAGCTGGATGTAGTGCACGAGTTTCTAGTGACTGAAAGTTTTCAAAAACTTTCCTCTATAGTTGTCATTTTTTCTCACTAGCTTATAAGCTCCATGAGGGCAGGGACTTTGACCTCTGGTTCCCTCCTCTGTCCCCAACTCCTAGTATGGCTCCTTACACATGGTGGAACTTAGTACAAATGTGATGAATAGATGGTAAAAATGCACACACAAAATATTTGAGATTTAAAAGCAGGCTCTACCTCCCAAAAATGTTACATTGACTTCTAAAGTTTGATTTGTCATACTTTAGAACTTAAAAGTTTGGTTTTTATTTTTAGATATAACCGAAGGAAGTACTCAGAGATCATGGCTGAAAAAACAGCAAATGCAGCAGGAAAGAAGTTCCGAAAGAAGAAGAAATTTCGCAATTAAGATTCACCAAGCAAGCCACAGTATTTTACCTCGCCCTTTTATTTATTTACTAAAGATGTCTTTCAAAACTAACACCATCACAAAAAATTAACATAGACTGGCCCTATTTATTTATAGGGGTTTTCCTGTTTGGAAAAGTTGATTTGAGTGAGATTCGATCATGTGCCCCTTGGAGTAAAAGTAGATGCATCTACAAAAGTCCCACCCATGCTTAGACCCATAGAGGGGAAAAAGGAAAAGAACCTTAACAAATTTAATGGACATTTTGTAAAGTTTTCAATGCTTGGTTATTAAAGAAAATTGAATTAAAAGATATTTAGAAAGTAGAAAGTTTGTTAACATTCAAAAAACTTTAATGTGATCAAGGATATATGTAACAATATTGTAATTAACAATATTAATTAAAGATGTGGGGGTGGGGTATATGTAGGAGAGAGATAGTAGACAGGAAATGCTCTTTTGTTGGCTGTAAATTTAGGTCCAAAAAATACAGATATCTGGACTGAGATACACAGATCTACTTGTAGCCAGTATAAAAGTCATAGTTGAAACCAAAGGAAGGATACAAAAGGACTTAAAAAATAAGGAAGACTACCTAGAAAGATTGGGTTAAAGCTGATGAAAGAAGGACTTTCAAAATACCTTAAGATCTTGAATGATTTCTAAAATAGCCTGTCTTGTTTCAAAATGTTTTTAAGATAGCTTATTTAAAAAATGCATACAACACAGCTAGTTTTTTAAGTGAGGAAATTACAGAAAGGAAATTGAGGATGGAATAAATTAGATGAAGCCAGGGTGACAGAGATAATAAATATGAGCCATGAACTTTCTAGCATCTAACACAAAAATCAGTTCTGTGTCAGTGTTCTGCCATAAGATAAAAACAACTACTTTAAAGAAACATTATTCCTATTATTAAGGCCTGAGAAAACGTCCTTGAGTCCTTCCCATAATAATGTGAGAGGAGAGGCAATACTTGGCTATTGAGACCATAAACAGCAGAGTTTTAAGAAAATGGAAAGGGGTGGGGGGCAGGGAGGCTGTAAAGAAAATTTCAATAGAACCTTGAGTAAAGTTTTGGAATAAATTCATGGGATCCTACTCTTAGAAATAGCAAGTTAGAAGAAAACATGCTCATATGAAAAAGACATTTTAATACTATTTCAAGTCAGTCTCAAGCAATGGCAACTATTCAGAATAACTACCAGTACCATTTTCAGTTAGGGTTAAAACAAAAAAAAGACTTTCTAGGTAATCAATTCCTTAAGCATCTAATTAAAATGTAAAATTCATCTCCTCGTTACACAATTTAAAAGTAAAGAAATGTTTCCTATTTTAAAAGTAAAGAAGGAATGCTTCCACGTACTAATAGTTTCCAAGAAGCAGGGTCAATAGCATGACCTGTAATTAAATGTCATAAGCAGATCAGTGTTTTATCAAAGAAATGAAATATCTTAAAATGAAACGTGAAATAAATTAGGTATGGGGAGTTTCTGAAATGGAAAAGGTTATTAATAAATACTCACTAAACACTAACTATAAGACAAAAACTATTTTAGCCTCAGGTGGCGGGTGGTTCATAGTGCATGTTCGTTCTGATTATCACCGCATTACAAATTACCCCAAAAATCAGTGACTCAAAATAACCGTTGTTTTCATTGTATCTCTTGATTTGATGGGGCTCGGTTTGGTGCTTTTACATGCTATTGAATTAGTAGTATTCAGCTGGCAGCTAAGCAAATCTGGAAGGTTTGAAATGCTTCCCCAACATGTCTGGCACCTTGTAATGTTCTCTTAAAAGTAGGATGATAATTGAAATTTTTCTTGAGTTTATAGCATAAAATTTGCTATAAAACCAAAACAAAACCCACACATTTTGTGTGTCACTGAAGGCTCTAGCATGGTTAAATGGCCTCAGCATGCAGTATTTAGGAAGTTCTACTTCCTACATACCTCCTTCATAGTCACTCTCTAAGGCAGTGGTTCTCAACCTTGGCTACACATTAGAATGACCTGGGAATCTTTTTAAAATCCTGATTTCTGGGCCTCATCCTCCGGAAATTCTGTTTCTTTGTTTATCTCTACAGCCTTGCTCCAAATGCACATAATCCCAATAACTGTGATATGCCCAGCCAGGTATCATGATGTCATCTCATATCCAGAACCAGAAACATCATCTTTCTGAGATGATTAAATAAGCACTTAGCACTCACTGTGCCTGGCACATAACAGGTACTCAAAGGAAAGCTACTATTTCTCTGTTCTCTATCATTCCCCCCACTCCCCATTGGGGAAGTCTTCCTTAAACAATTTTAATGCCTTCCTGCATTTTACCTTCTATGGGCCATCTTTGCTTAACAAAACATGCAGAAAAACTTACATTCAAGATCTGACATTCAAGACCTATAAAATGCCACCACAGGTTTATATTCACCACTCCCCTGTCCATGCACCAAACTCCATTTGTGCTGATCATTTGCCTGTTTCTCTCTGCTTTACTCTGGGTTGCAGGAACCTGTGATATAAATATTTCTCTCTTTTCCGTGACCAGCACAGCTAGAGATCGGACAGGAGTCCTGAGTAGGGTTGACGGGGGATTGAGAAAACGAAAGAGACAGACACAAAGACAGTAGGGAAAGCTGGGACCGGGTGGGACAGCTGTCCTCTGATGGAGAGACAGTTGACCCAGAGCGATACAGTGTGTTTATTTTATACAGTAAGATACCAGGAAGTTTTACTAAAGTTTAAGATAAAGAAAACATGTGCATTCTTGTGGCTTCTTTGTAATCATCATCACTTCTGGGTGGGCCCAGATAATCATGTTTGTTCCTGGTGCCTGGCTGGATTTTGACAATGAAATCCACCCCCTGGAGCCTGAGCTAAAAGTCAGACTGACAACACACCTGCCTCTGGCAAGGTATGTTTCCAGGGCATGGCTCTGCCAGTTGCCACTGGATTCAGACGACAATCAGCTCAGGGGTCTTTCCCAGACACTTTCTACACTACATTTCTCGAATTCCCTTGCCAACTACCTTTCAGGTAAGACAATGCCCTAAAGACTGGAGAGCAGAAGGGGAGAAGTCAGGTATTTATCTCCTTCTGTACCCTGAGTTGGGTTGTGGCTCTGCCATTTCCCAGATCTCACCAGGCAGCCTCCCACCTATTGGCCCAGGCTTCTGGGTTCTGGTAACACCATCTCCTCCCATTCTCTCTCTAGCACAAGGGGTGATAGAGGTTTCCTACTGTTGCCATCTCTGGGTGACCTACACTTTCAGCATTTCTACCACCTGTGTAACAATCCCTTATATTAAACTAGAGGCCCGGTGCAAAAAATTTGTGCACTTGGGGTGGGGGGGATCCCTCTACCTGGCCTGTGCCCTCTCGCAGTCTGGGACCCCTCGGGGGATGACCACCTGCTGGCTTAGGCCTGCTCCCCGGGGGATTGGGCCTAAGCTGGCAATCAGACATCCCTCTGGCAGCCCTCGGAGGATGTCTACTTGCCAGCGGGGAGCAGACCTAAGCTTCAGTCGGACATCCTTAGTGCTGCTGAGGAGGCAGGAGAGGCTCCCACCACCACCACTGTACTGGCAGCCGTCAGCCTGGCTTGTGGCTGAGCAGAGCTCCCCCATGTGGAAGCTCACTGACTACCAGAGGGCAGCTCCTGCATTGAGCGTCTGCCCCCTGGTGGTCAGTGTGTGTCATAGTGACCAGTCATTCCCAGTCTTTCTGCTGTTAGGGTCAGTTTGCATATTACCCTTTTACTATATAGGATAGAGGCCTGGTGCACGGGTGGGGGCCGGCTGGTTTGCCCTGAAGGGTGTCCCGGATCAGGGTGGGGGTCCTGCTTGGGTGCCTGGCCAGCCTGGGTGAGGGGCTGATGGCTGTTTGCAGCTGGTCACACCCCCTTCAGGGTGGGGGTCCCTACTGGGGTGCCTGGCCAGTCTGGGTGAGGGACTGAGGGCCGTTTTCAGGCTGGCCGGCAACTGAAGCTCCCAGCCTCTCCTTTTTTTCTTTTTCTTTTTTCTTATTCTGGGATTTATTTACCTTCTATAATTGAAACTTTGTTGCCGTCACTGGAGCTGAGAGCCAGCTCCTACTCGCTCCAGCTCTGAGGCCACGGCCTGCTGAAAGCAGGTATCTGGGGTTTGTTTAGCTTCTAAAATTGAAACTTTGTTGCCATCACTGGAGCTGAGAGCCGGCTCCTACTCGCTTCAGCTCTGAGGCCACGGCCTGCTGAAAGCAGGTATCTGGGGTTTGTTTAGCTTCTATAATTAAAACATTGTTGCTTTCAGGCTCAGAGCCGGGCCGTGGCAGGTGGGGAACCTTGGCTTCCTCCATCACTGGAGCAAGCAAGCCTCCTGTTCGCTTCAGCTGCCGGCCGCCATCTTGGTTGGGTTAATTTGCATATTGTGCTGATTAGCCAATGGGAGGCATAGCGAAGGTATGGTCAATTACCATGTTTGTCTATTATTAGATAGGATTCTCTAGAACAGCGGTTCTCAACCTGTGGGTCACGATCCCTTTGGCGGTCGAATGACCCTTTCACAGGGGTCGCCTAAGACCATCCTGCATATCCGATATTTACATTATGATTCATAACAGTAGCAACATTACAGTTATGAAGTAGCAATGAAAATAGTTTTATGATTGGGTCACAACATGAGGAACTGTATTTAAAGGGCCACATCACTGCTCTAGAGTGATGTGTATTTCTGCCTGGACCTAATACATTTCAGCCAAACCAAGCTGGTTGATACTGAATGCTTGCAGGCAGTCAACATACACCGAGTTTTATGCGTGCCAGGTACTGTGCTAGATACAGTGAGTTTTCATCATTTATGTCTTTGTTCATATGGTTAACTCCCCTAATATCTTTTTCTTACCTCCATCCCACCTAATAAAATACTACTGACCTTTCAGGCCTATTCAGAAACCAATATTTTGAGCATCTACTCTGTGCGAGGCATTGTGCTTGGTGCTGGGGGTGCCCAGGGAAGGAACAGGGTCATCCCAGGCATCACAGAGCTGACAGTCTACATTTCTTCGTGAAATCCTTTTTCATGTTTTCTCCACTGATGTGTATACTCTTGAATTTCCCATTTTACTGTGCTTATTTTTATTTTATTTGTACTTAAGAACTTAGCAAATACAACTTATTTTTATGTAACTGTTCCATATGCATGTACATATGGAACATATATATTATATACATATACAAAAATTTAGGTAAACCTATGAGGTAGGTGTTATCCTCATTTTATAACTGAAGAAATGGGCACAGAGAGGTTAAGTAACCTGCCTGAGGTCACAGAGCAGGTAAGTATAACTCTTTTGTCACATTTCTATTTTATTTTGGCCTTGCACTATAGCTATCTGCATACCTACTTCAGTATCACCAGCGGAAACTGCTGAACTTTTTCTTTTACTGTTATAGAATACGTGATTTCTAGCTGGAAATATAGCCACCTGGGGGTGAGGGAAGCTATGAGTCCCACCTCTTCATGGGATGTGAGTGAAAGTGTATATGCAACTTATGGAAAATGTCCTTCAAAGAAAGGTGAGTTTAGAGAGGAACTGTGTGTTGACCTGATGATAGAGGCAGAAGCAACCATCTTGGAACAAGAGCGGAGAGTTGTATTTTGAGGAAGAAACAATGAGGAGAAGCCTGGTTCTCTTATAATCAAATAGCTATCATTCTGTGGAAACCTCTATTTTGCCAAATCCACTGTTATTTTGAGTTTCCTGTCACTCATAGCCAAAACCAATCCTAATTAATTAATGGAATCAATCCATGGCTCTCTGGCCCTCACTAGGATAACTCTAAGAAAATGCGATTGATCTCATTCCTCTTTATATTTCCTTCCAACACAGTTCCTTGCACAAAGCCAATACGCAAAAAATAGATT